TACAATGAAATACATAAAATACAGCGGGATACATTGAAATATAATGAAAAAAAAGACAATGAATACAATGAAATACAACGAGATACATTGAAATACATTAAAATATAGCTCAGCCTCCAACTCCGTCGTCTTTGTTCAAGAACAACCCTAATGTCGTCTCGTTGAAGCAGCATTAATATCCATTCCTCGCTCGCCGTCACCGTTGCCTCCGGTTGCCGACGATTATCACGTAATTACTGGATTGAAGACAAAGCATGTGATGAAGGGGAGAAGAAGAAACTTAGAAGCCGCTCTAATAGACTGCCTCCATTGATGGATTCTTCTCCATCTTCGGAGGAGAAGTCGTGTTCTCCCTCGCTTATCAAAAGTTGAAGCAACAGAAGTCGAAGTCCAGTGCCTTCATCTTCAGCCTTGATCCGGCGGAGGAGAAGACATCGAAAAGTAGAGAGAGGGAGGGAGAATAGATATGGGGTAGGGGATAGGAGAAATTTGAGGGGATATAATAGAGAAAAATAATACAAAGCTTATTTCATAGCTTAAGGGTAGGAGGTGACCATAAATAGATATTTGGCTATAAAAAATCAAAAGGTAGCTATGGAATATAATTTTTAAAATGGTATTTATTTAAAATAAACAAAATATCAACCTTTTGCTATAGGAGGTAAGTAATCCTTATATTTGATGTCTTTATCTATCTTTTAATTTCTACTATCCCAAATTCCAAAAGAAGACTCCCCCAAGAGCTGACAAAGAAGTATATATCAAATCAGATACAATGATTACCAATTGACAATTATGTCTATAAAATGATAATGATGATTCGTACTCACTCTCTATGTCCAATCATTCTTTTGAGATCTCTCTTTAATTTTCTTGGGAGGACAGAGTTTTGGCATTGGCCTTTTGGGTAGAGGATTGTGACAATTGGGATTCCTCTTTATGGTCCACTTAGTGGGCGTTTGGACATAAGAATTATAAAATTCTAAAAGAAAAAGTGAGTTTTTTGAAAGTAAAAATAGTATTAGAAAATTAGAGTTGTATTTGGAGTGAAAATTTTAAAAAATAACCTTTTGGAGTTTTTTAAATTTTCGAAAAGTTTTGGCATTCAACTTCAAGTGAAATTGAAATTTTCATGGACAAACACTGATTCCGAAAAAGTAATTTTTTTCGAAAAAAGTGATTTTTTTTTCGAAAAAATTAAAAAAAATCTTATGGCCAAACGGGCCCTTAGTAGGTGTTTGGACATAAACATTGTAATTTTTGAAAAAAAAAAAGTAGTGTTTGGAGTTAAGCTGAAATTTTGAAATTATGTTTGGATATGCATTTCACTTTGAAAAAATATTGCAGTTTTGTGAGTGGGGAAAAAAATTCTGAAAATTTTGACTTTGAAAAACTCATTTTCGAATTTTTTTCAAAAACTTATATAAAATTTCATGGGCAAACACATCTTTGAATTTATTTTTATTTTTTTGAAAAAAGGAGAAAAAAATATATAGACAAACAGAGCCTTAGTTACACCAATTTTTCTATTTTCCATCTAGTATTTGATGCAGAGGCAGATCCGGGATTTCAAGATGATGGGTGCACTATTGTGAACGAATCTAGAATTTATCTTTGACTGGTTTAACTTTAGTCTCTTACCATGGCCCACTACACTTTTAAAATTATAGGTTCAAAATTATATTCTTTTTGAAATTTTAGTTATTTTCACATATATATCTATACTGCGTGCCGAAACAAAGACCATTCAGAGTGGGATTTGAACTGCCAATTTCATTTATAGAGGTATGGCCAATAATAATTGCACCATAATAGTCTTTGAGCATGGGTTCACGCACATATATTTAAGTAATTTTAAAGAAATATAATATTTTTATACATGGTTTAGGGAGAGGAGTACGGGTTCACGTGAACCCATATCCCTCAACTTGGATACGCCTCTGATTTGATGTCCCTATTTGAGTTCGACTAATTTTGATTCGCGTTAAAAAGTTTATGGTATAAAGTGCTCTCTAACAAAAGTAAACCACATACTCAAAGCTCGAACAACAGACTCCTGGTTAAGACTGAAGTATATTTATCATTCTTCCACAATCCTTGTGGGTTTTATACTATTAAAGTAAAGCAGAAAAAGGACAGCCCGATGCACGAAGCATCTCGCATTTATACAAGATTCAGGGAAGGGCCACACTCCAAGGGGTGTGATGTAGGCAGTCTACCCTCATGCAAGCATCAATTGCTGATTCCACAATTCGAACTCGTGACATATAGGTCACACAGAGATAACTTTACCGTTTTATATTAATGTATAAGTTAAAAACTAATATATGAACTTGTGTATAATTCAACTATTGGATTGAATGCCTTGTCCATGTCCACTAGTACAAGTATCCGATAACTTATATATTAAGCGAGGTAACATTTTGACATGTGACTTATTTTAACATTTTTGCAGAATAAAGGGAAACCCAATTGTTGGCTGTCACCTTTAAGCTACACGATAAGGAACTTAAAATCCATAGTGGGATACCAAAATGAAGTCTTTTAGGAAAAAAGTAAAAATAAAAAAAATAAAATAAAAAAAGAGAGAAAATGACATTATATACATGTTCGGTCGTTTAAGATAATAGCCGAAAAATATATATATTTATATATTTTTGTATATTATGTATACATTCTGTATATCATATACAAAAATTAACAAATTTTATACACTTTTTTCGACTAACGAATATGAATAATTTTTAGCGCGGGCTAAAAATGAAAAAAGCCCAAAAAAATCATTGTCCATCACAGTAATAAATCCACTCAGTTGCTTAAATTGAATTTTGGAGACAACTTTTGTGGATGATATATAAAAGAGTGGAAGATGTAGACATTGATTCTTGGACTTTCCATTAAAAAAAGATGTCCAATCAATATGCCACTGTTTTGTATTGACTGCCTTATTTGGTTTTAACGAGGATTGTTAGACCTATGGAAAAGTAGTTAGCACCAAAATTTCTAAAGTCTTATTTTCTATGAATAAAGGAAAAGAAAAAAATGATCAAAAATTAGGGAAATTTTGTCCTTAGTTAAATTTTTTGTCTAATATTGTCTCTGGCGTTAAGAAAAAATTTTGTTCTTGCTTTTGACTCGTAATGGAGCTCTAAAGTGAAGGTATTTTTAAGGCATAGTCAAAAGTTTAGGTGTGAATTTGAATTTTTTTTTCTCGAAGAATTTGGACACGTGACGATTACCTGTTTAACGTTGGAGCATGTTAATAGCAAAGGCTAATACGAGACATTTGTTGACGATAAGGATATAAATGGACCAAACGTGTAATGAAGGGCGAAGAACAATCCAGAGGAAGAATCACAAGATGAAACGTGTAATAAATGGACCAATCATGTAATAAAGGGACCAAACGTTTAATTGTTCTTCCTCAAGATAAACTCGGAGTGTGGCCGGACGCTTCTTGATAATCAAATACTTCAAGAACAAGATCCAAATAGTGCACGACTTTTATGGGGATCAAATACATCCCAGGGAGGTCCGCATACAGGGGCGAAGCTATGTTTGGCCAGAGGTGCCGAAAAATTATAATGTGTATAGGGCGAATTAGTAGTACTTTACATAGCCCATTGGCAAAGGGTGTTCAATTCTGGCTTCGCCATTGTCCCTATCATTCTATATTTGAGAAATACGCTAATCCAACCCTCAAAATCCTCCAACCCTCAAAATCACGAAGAACAATCCGGAGGAAGAATCAAGGGAGCAAATAGAATTACTCTCAAAAACTCATTAATAAAATTATATTTTTTTGTTAAATTAGTGGTCTAGAAAATACTTGCATAAATTTTATAAGTAACATCCAACCAACATCATCTTAACAGTTAGCAGTTGATAAAATCTCTTCTCAACCCCTTAAAGGGAGAGTAGGAAGATCAAAATAGGCAAAATACATCGACCAAAATAGGCAAAATACATCAACAACTAGGAGCGGATATTCGGGCAGTTCGGATTCATATGAAAATTTCGGTTTGGATTTTCGGTCTTCGGATTGAAGAAATGATAATCCAAATCCAATCCAAATAAGTTCGGATTGGATCGAATTTTTTAATTTTGGTTTCGGATTCATCGATTTGGATATTTCGGATTTTCGGTTTTGAACTTATAAGTTGAGATGTTTCTTCTTTTTACAAAAATGAATATCCAAATGACGTACTCATGTTAAATTGCCTGAAAAATTTCTCATTCTCAACGCAATAATCAAATGAAGTATTTAAGTAATGAAATTATTATAAAAAAAAGTAAAATAGGGACATGATTAACACGGCCGATAAGAAGTAGAAATAGTAAAACCATGTCCAAATAGAAAGTATTTTCACAGCAACATAGTAATTATTATTGAATACATGAGATAATATCTAATGGTTAGGGTATTGAACTTATTACTATTGACATATGGATATGGACAAAATACAACGTATAAGAATTTTGGATTTTCGGATATCCAAAAATTCGAAGTACCAAATCCAATATTCAATCCGAAATCCAAAAATTTCAAAAATTAAATCCAAAATCTGATCCGTAATCCGAAAATCCAAACCAAGTCCAAAAAATTCGAATTTCGGTTTGGATTTCGGGTTTGCCCAAACTATGCCCACCCCTATCGACAACCCCTTAAAGTTGTCCCCACTTTTCACTCAAATAGAACGAACTTAAGATGGAGTGTCGAAGTGAAAAGTGAGGATACCTTTAAGGGGCTGTCGATGTATTTTGCCATCAAAATATAAGTTGATAACTAGGGGGAAAGAAAGAAAAGCAGAATGCAAACAAAGTAGAGTTCAGTTACAACAACAACATACCCAATAAAATCCCACTAGTGGGTTCTGGGGAGGGTATAATGTACGCAAACCTTACCCCTACCCCGGAAGGGTAGAGAGGATGTTTCCGGGAGACCGTCGGCTCAACAGAAGAGACAATAATATCAGAAAAGCAAAGTTCAGTTCTTGGAAGAAAATGAACAAACAAAATCTTTATATATATTTCTTAAGCACAACATACAAATCAAGTAAGTAAACAACAGCATCATATTCTGATATATTATTCCTCTCAAAGGTAGATAAACTCCCAAAGGTAAAGCTCAGAACAAGATGCTTCTGCCAATTTCCAGAAATTACAATTCCCTCAGATAACACGTTAGGGCGACTTCATATCAAGAAGATCAAACCAGTGATTGTCAGATGGAGAAAGACACTCGTATTACCACACGTAAAATGCTGACGAGTAAGAGTGAAGTAATTCTAGATCATATAACTACACACCAACCTATTCACTACAGAGAACGGAAAAAAAAACCCGAGTGAGATGTCAAGCTTCTGTTATGTATAGCTGAAGTTAACTAAAATCTATTAACAGTTTGGATGGATGAAGCTCGTTATCTCCTCCATTAGGCAAGGAAAATGATCGTTATTAGGCAAGAAGTAAAAACCGATTGTTGCCTGTTCTAGAAATAGGAGCTTTACCTCGTGCCCGGATTTTTCCAAACCTTCGACGTATGCCAATTGCCAATCTTGACTAAGATCCAAACCAGCTACGACGACTAAACTCTTTGGAAACTTTAGTCCTTCAAGACTACTACTCCTCGGGCCAAATATATTACAAGCTGGATGATCTCTATCTTCCCCTTCTGGTAGATATGCTCTCCAGTACCAATCCCTGTCTTGAACCGTTACAAAGTATTTCCCGTCCAATCTTTTCTCGGATTCTGTCCTCTTTTGCCCACCAAACATCGGATGAAGATGGATATTACCTAATACTTCGACACCTGAGTCAGCAGCCCTTACTGCAACGTGGTGAGCGATATTACCACCAGAACTATCACCAGCTAAGTAGACGTGAACTTTCGAGTCCTTCCCGCTTTGAAGCCATGTTCTTGATTGGACCCATTTTAGTGCAGCCCATCCATCATCGTACGCACATGGATATCGATGTTCTGGCGATCGTCGATAGTTCACAGAAACAACAGCTGCCTTGCAAATCTTCACAAGGCGACGACAAAACGTATCGTAAATAGCACTATTGGCCGAGGAATGAGTAAAACTCCCGCCATGGAAATATATTATAACGGGAACGATTTCGGTGGTGCTCAAAGGTTTCTCGAGTTCTACTTTACCCCAATCAGCCTCATTCTCAGGAGCAGATCGATAGACTCGATTAAGAAGGCTTGTCACCCGATCAAATACATCAAAAGAATAAACCCCATCCACTGGAATCGAGTTTGTAGGGACCTTCCGATCTAGGAACTCAGCTAAATCACGGTCAAACGTGCCATCAGGCCGACGAAGCATGTTGTAAGAAAGCTTGAAATTGGATATAAGGATCCATGTATTAAGTGGAACCACCCTCTGCCAAAAGGAATAAAATGCAAAGTTATTATAGAAGTTTACTGATTCAAGAAACTAATAGCCACCTCCTCATGCCACTTGAAGCAAATTGATAATAGCCAAATGCATCTTATGATAATCCAAATATAGTTATTTCCAACAAAGGGAAGAATCTGTAGATTTTTTGCACAACCAGAAAAAAGAAAGTAGTAAATGGAAAAGAAAGAAACAACCCCAAAACAGCAACACAAAAGCAAAAGGTGATTTCACAAGGAGGCTAAATCAAACAACAACAACAACAACAAACCCCGCGGAGTCCTAGGGTCTTGGGAGGATAGTGTGTACGCAGACCTTACCCTTACTCTTGGGAGGTAAAGAGACCGTTTCCGATAGAAACTCGACTCAGGAAGGAGGTTGAATCAGTATAGGCAAAGAAATACTAGTATGACAAATCATATATATATATTAGGAGAGATCTTATCATAAAATTAGAGGTAAAGATTCATCCATTGTTCCAAACTCAGAGTTTGGTTTCTCTATAAACTCTAATATTTTTACCTACATAAAACAGCCCCTATAGTAGGTAATGAAACTATGAGAAAAATCAAGCAAAGCATGAGGAATCACAAACATAAATAGCTCAAATCCTAAAATTAATAGTAAAGATTCATCCTTTGTCCTATATCATAAATTGAGTTCTCAAAAAAAAAAAAATCAAGTTATTTTAGACACCAAAAAGTCAAACCCCATATATTAGATTATGACAAAGCAAATACATAAGCAGAGCTCAAATCCTATAATTAATTGCAAAAAAGGATTAATTTTTGCCCTTAATCAGATTTTGGGTCCTAAAAAAACTAAATCTTTCTTACAACACCTAAAGTCAAACCCCTAAAATAGACTAAAAAACCATGAATTAACAAGCAAAATGATCCCATAATTAGCAAAAAAAAAAACAAATTAATACCAAAAAACAAAATGATCAAAAGGGGTACCTTAGATTCATTAGCATTAATTTCATTACTGCCAGCCATGACTATTTGCTCAACAAAAAAAAAAATCAAATCTTGGGACAAAATTCAAAAGAAAGGTCCACTGATCTTGAAAAAGATCAGTTTTTTAGCTTTCATACTATACTTTTGACTGAATATGTGATAAAAGGTATGCAAAAAAAATAGTGATTTTTATTCCTAGTTTTTTGGGGTTTTCAGAAAGAAAGAAGAAAAGACAGTTATCTGAAACAAGAAATATAGCAGTAGTAAGACAAAGGGGAGCTGCTAAAAGTGAAGAAGAAGAAGAATTGGGGGGGAGAGAATTAAAAGAAGAAAGTGAAATTTAAAGCATTAAGAGATGGATATGAAGAGGAGAAAAAGACAAAGAGAAGAGAGAGAAAAAAGAGTCAAGAAGAAAGGGACAACAAGGGTGGAAGAAAAAATGAGAGAGAGACGACAAAGCAGGCGGCTGAAATTAATTGTTCATGTAGGACCCACTTTTTTATTTAGAAAATACAAACAAAAATAAAGATTTTTTTTTTTCTTCTTATTCACTTATAGCCTGTTTGGCCAAGCTTTTTTTTGGCAAAAACTTAAGGTATTTGACCAAGCTTTACGAAGGAAAAAAAGTATTTTTGAGGAGAAGCAGAAGCAGAAAAAAGTAGCTTCTTTCCAAAAGTACTTTTCTGAGAAGCACTTTTGAGAAAGATACACTTACAAGCAGTTTTCAAAAGCTTGGCCAATTTTTATTTTTTTTGGTTTCCCATCCGGTGTCCGATACCTGCATTGGAGCCCGACTATATCCGGATTCGCACCGCGTAAGGCCCTATTCGGGGTTAAGCGCTCCATACCAAGGATTTTTTCATACACAGGACCTGAACTTGAGACCTCTAGTTAAAGGAAGAACAGTCTCATCCACTGCACCACATCTTTTGGTGGTTGGCCAAACATTAATTACTGCTCAAAAGTGTTTTTCAAATTAATTAGCCAAACACAAACTGTTTCTCATTAAAAGCACTTTTTTAAAAAGTACTTTTAAGAAAAGTACTTCTCAAAATAAGCTGATTTTAGAAGTTTGGCCAAACATGCTATTAGTCCGAAACGCATTGGTCCGACTAATTAGACTTGAATTTTAAAAAGAGTATGTGACACAACAAACATATATATTATATTTATTATTCGTAGTTATACTTTTAGAAAATTATTATTTGCAGCTATATTTTAATTATATAGCAAATTCATATGTTATATTGAAAGAAAAGATCAATTTTTTTGAACTGAAACAAAAGAACAACAAGCTCTCGTAGCTAGTTGGTTAGAGCGCTCGCTTAGTAAGCATAGGTCATGAGTCCGACTCTGCGCATATCCTTACTCTATAGCAGTTATTGCTCCGGTTCCGGAAGGTATAGCTCTTGCCTCAACTTCTTCTTTGAAATCGAAGACTCTAAAATCTTTCCTACCAATCGCATAGTAAAGCTTGAGTGCCTCCCTTTTTTGATGATCTTGTCGTTTCTCTTAAACTATAGCTTCAGGCTATTATTTATACAAGAATAAACCACTATAAATAGGTATCTATATGCGCAGGAATGAATATATGATTAATTCAAATACATTAACCCGTAATGAGAGCATTCTATTTTTCTGTATTTTTGTATTTCGCCTTGATTATATTCGATGCGCGAACGAATATAGTCGATATAGGTTGCGTTCTTTGTATAAACTCTTGTATTTCACCTTGGTCGATATAGGTTGTATCTGTTGCGCGAATGAACACAGTTGATACAGGTTATAGTTGACACAGGTTATATTCATTACGCGTCTGAATACAAGCGATACAAGCTGGTACCAATTGAACAGTAGTTACGAATAATTATTAGGCAACTATTACGTATGGTAACTAGATTCTAAATTGTAGCGCTTTAAAAATTATATAATAGCTAATTATAAATTATACATTAATTATACACGGTATACATATTATAATTGGTGGGTCTCTAAGTTTCATTAATACTAGTAAATTTTAATTACAGTGGGCAGGTGGTGGGTACACTTTATTTGTACTGTATTTTCCTTTTTCCTTTGTGAAGAAACTCATTTTTAATTATATGTTAATAAAAAAGTTGACAAAGCTAACCCAGACCTATTTATTTTTTTCATGAGAAAAGCTAATCAAGAACATACTTTACCAAAATGGCCAAATCCATGAACTTAAGTTGCGTTTTGGATTATATTTTATGTGACTTTATGAAAAGGAGGGTGAAATTCAAAATACTACTATACTAGTGTTATTGTATAGTATTTTTTTTTTTTTGTGTGAGTTAAGATATTGATATTTAAAAAACAAATCAACTTTATATATTTAGAGACTTCATAAAAATATTGTAAATCGGGTTCGTTTAGAGATTATGGTAAGTATTCCATAATCTTTTGCATTAATAAATGGCTTCTTTTTTTTTTGTCGGGTTTTCGGTATTTTTTGTTATATGAATATTATTTCAATCTTACTTTGTTTAATTTTTGTTAAGTAAATATATGTTTTGTAAAAATTAAAAAAATGACAAATATATGATCTAATAAAACATTCTTATGGAAGAATTTTCTTAATAACACATGATAGTTATAGTTTAGTCGTCTAACAATAATTTTACATTAATGTACACTTTCAAGATTAAACGAATTTAATAATTAAACATAAAAATAAATGTGAATCTATATAATGATATGTTCTATTTAATTTGAAATTATTGAAACATAAGCATTAATAGATCTTGACATATAAATATAGAAAAACAAAAAGAAATACGAATTTTATTGGCACTTGATAAGAAAGCGATCATACAACCCATTATTATAAGTTAATAAATATGGAGCACTTCGTATTAACTAAATATATATCTCATAAGAGAATCGTAAATATTTCTATACATTTTTTAAAGAAAATTCTATAAAAAAATTTAAAAGTATATATAAAATTTATATATTTATATGTCGGTTTGGTTAATGGTTTTTTAACTCAATACCAAACCAAATTAACCAAACCTAATCAGATTTTTTAATCGGTTTGATTTGACTTTTCGATTTGGTGCGGTTTTCCGATTAGGTTTGTACACCCCGTACTTATATGTATCAAAAACACATGTCATACGAGGAGGGTGGGGTCTAGGTACCTTTTCATGTAGTATGTTGTAGACTAGTGGACCTCATAGTCCAAGTAAGAATAAGAAACGTGTATACGAGAATTAAGATGTAAGTTCATTGATTAGATATTTATCACAAGATCCAAAATAGAAGAAATCTGATGATGATGAAGTAGGACCATCCATATTTGAAGGAAATTGTGTTCGCCCTTTGGTTTTATTAATTCTGTGAGTAATGAAATGAGAAAAAGAAAATCGAAAAGAGTTTACATTCTATTTCTATATTTACTGATAAATACGAATTTAAAATTTATGATTACTACGACGATCTTAAGTTAATATTATAATTGTAAGAAAAAGGGATAATGCATAAAATCATCCCCGACCTATGATCATACTATCAACCACACACATTTTTTTCCGGGGGTCCTATTACCCTCCCTGAACTATTTTAAAGTAAAAATTATTTACCCCTTAAGAAGCTACAACCAGATGCGTGCAAAGTGGTGAAATACACCTGCCTAAAATGTGTATTTCTTACTTAAATTTTTTTTCCACTGTTTTTTCCTTCTTCCTTATTTTCCTATTTGCAGAACTTCATTACCATATCCGGCCAAAAGGCAAAAGCCTAATTTGATGGGTTTTATATAATACTTGTTTGATATTATCAGATCTGGTCGGAGAACGAAACTCCGATGAAAACCCTTGGTCCAGTGAAACTCCATTGTTGTTGACCGTTTTGACTGTTCGTAAGTTCTTACTGAATCATGCTCGTTGCTCCCTCTAGTTGTAGCTCTGTTTTTGTTATTAAACATATCTGCTTTTGATTTATGGGTTGATTTTACGTTGTATTGGATTTTCGCTCTGGTATTTCGCTGTTGAAACGATGTCCCCCTTGTTCGTGCGAGAAGAGGTTTAGAAGACAAAAGAGACTAATTAATTAGATGTAATTAATTATGTAATGTCCAATCAAAAGATGACACTTGTACATGTTAATCAATTTTAAAATTATTTTTGTAACTTCCACTTGCCCTTAAGAGAGTGTGCACACTCTCTATGCCACGTCAGCACTTAGGGTGGTATTTATTACACTTTAAAATAGTTGGGGGTAATAGGACCCCCGAAAAGAAAATGTGTGTAATTGGTAATATGGTTAGGTGGGGGAGGATTTTATGCATTACCCCTAAGAAAAATGTTCAAACTTAACTCTTAACTATGTGAAAATATTTAAATTTGTCCTTCGTTCATATTTGGGATCAATTATGCCCATGCCGTTACAAAATCAATATACATTTGCTTTTAGTTGCCAAGTCAGCTAACGAAATCTCATTAAAAATATATTACAAAAAATAGAAAAAGTACAAGAAAAATAGATATTGAAATTAGGAAGAAAAAAAAGTGGCTTTGTTTAATATTAGTCCTTAATATTCATTAAAATTAAACAATTATAATGTAATCCAAAATTTATTATCACATCACCACCATAGTATTAGTACTATTTTCCACACCACATACAAAAGTACAAGTGCCATCCCTTTCCTTCTCACCCCTCCAACTGTTAGTTTTTGTCATTTTATCCTGTCCTTATTATATACTATCATTATTCCTCAACATCTTGTTTTTTTATTAATAATCATGACGTCCGTATTATATTGCGCATATCTTAATTAATTTAATGGAATATCTGTTATATCAACTAATATAGGTAGTGGGTAATTTTGAATCACTTAATTAGTAGTAGTATTTTAACCACTACTAAAATATTTGAAATTCTATACTAATAATATTGACTACTAAATCGCACACTCAGAGGTGCAAGTCGTGCCGCAAGGTGCCATGCGCACGGGGCTAAGCTTGGTACATGTCGATTGCCAATGGTTGTTGCGGGCAACATCAGGAGGCGACATCGCTCGTGACGGCTGATGGCTTTAGGCAACGGAACGGCGGAGCGTCGTGCAAGTAGCGCCGCAAGGTGCCATGCGCATGGGGCTAAGCTCAGTACATGTCGATTGCCATCGGTTGTTGCGGGCAACATCGGGAGGCGACATCGCTCGTGGCGGCTGATGGCTTTTGACAACGAACAACGGAGCGTCATGCAAGTAGCGCCGCAAGGTGCCATGCGCATGGGGCGGAGCTCAGTGCATTGCTGATTGCCATCGGTTGTTGTGGGCAACATCGGGAGGCGACATCGCTCGTGGCGGCTAATGGCTTTTGGCAACGAAACGGCGAAGCGTCGTGCAAGTAACGCCGCAAGGTGCCATGAGCATGAGGCGGAGCTCAGTACATTGC